CAGAAACTCGCAAACAGCTCCAGAGCTTTCTGGGTTTTTCCAACTTTTATCATCAGTTCATCCCCTCTTTTGCCGAGATTGTCCTACCCCTTACAGAACTACTCAAAACAGGCAAAGGAGGAGGGAAGCCACGACCAGGCCAACCACTAGCATGGACGATGGGCTGTCAAACAGCTTTTGAGAATTTAAAGAGACTATTTGTTGCTGAACCGGTCCTAAAGCACCCCTGCCCAGGGGAGCCCTTTGTGATTCAAGCCGATGCCAGCGATGTGGCAGTTGGAGCTGTATTACTGCAAAAGAACAAAAGTGGGGTCCTGCAACCCTGCGCCTACACCTCAAAGAAATTTACTGAAAGCGAGCGGAGATGGGCAGTCTGGGAGAAAGAGGCCTTTGCGATTAGGTGGGCGCTATTAAACTGGCAACACTATCTAGAAGGGAGCAAGGTGCCATTTGAAGTATGGACAGATCACAAAAATCTAGACACAGTGAAAACTCCCCGCAAATTGTCCCCAAAGCAAGTGCGGTGGGCACAGTAGTTTAATCGCTTCAACTTCACTCTAAAGTACATACCAGGAGGAAAAAACTTCCTAGCTGATGCGCTATCCCGGTTACCCCAATACAAAAGTGAACGGGAGGAGGTTAACGAGGCAATTATCCCCAATCCACAAACTGCCGCTCAACTTACGCCTCGCAGTGTCCCCAATCCTGATGACCCTGGGGTAAAGAAAATAAAACGAGAGCTCCTCACCGATCAATGGTTCAAAGATAATCAAACCTCCCTAACGTGCAGGGATGGCTTGGCTTACAAAGGGGGGAAACTATATTTGCCCGAAGCCCTCCATCTTTATGCTCTCAAACACAGCCATGATGTAAAACAGGCTGGACACTTTGGATATTTAAAAACCCTACACCTCACCCGCCGGCAATTTTGGTGGCCGGGGCTGAAAAGGGATGTGGAAAACTATGTAAAAAGCTGTACTGTATGTGCCACAATAAAAAGAATCCCAGGGAAAACCCCTGGGTTACTGCAACCGGTGGAAGACCCTTCTCAACCATGGGAAGAAATAGCTATGGACTTTATAGTAGACCTACCTGAAAGTAGAGGAAATACTGTCATCTGGACTGTGATAGACCTGTTCTCGAAACAGGCTCATTTTATTGCCTGCAAAGGACTCCCATCTGCCCAATGGCTGACCAAACTGTTCCTGAAACATATCTACCAGCTGCATGGCGCCCCTAAGCGAATAATTTTGGACAGGGGGGTGCAGTTCACAGCGAAGTTTTGGAGGAGTTTTCTTAAATTAATTGGATCATCTCAAGGTTTATCATCTGCTTTTCATCCGGCCACTAATGGGGCTGCACAATCTGCTAACAAAATGGTGGAGCAATATCTTAGATGCTACGTTTCCTACCAACAGACAAACTGGACTGACCTCCTCCCTTTTGCGGAGGTGGCATACAATAATTCTGTGCACAGCAGCACCGGCTACATGCCTTTCAGAGTAGCCACAGGAAAAGAGTTCAGCCCAATACCTGAATACCCTCAGGTGCCTTCCGCTTCCCAGACACTTGACCAATGGGTGAGGGGGTGGGAAGAAGTTTGGAGAAACACAAAAACTGCTTTAAAAAAGACTTTTGAAACCTATAAAAGGCAGGCTGATAAAAGGAGGGCTCCCCAAATAACATTCCAAGTTGGGGAAAAGGTTTATCTGTCAATTAAATATTTACACCTCAAATTGCCCAGCAAGAAATTGGGAACAAAATTCTTGGGGCCTTTCCCTATCGTAAGGATCATCAACCCCGTCACAGTAGAATTGAATCTCCCTAGGCTTTTAGGAAGGATTCACCCTGTCTTCCATTGCAGCTTGTTAAAACCTTGTGGGGGCTCCACCTTAAGGCCTCTCCCTAAGAAAGCACCCGGACCCCTCGTAGTAGCGTGTCAGACTCACTATGAAGTGAAACGTATTCTTGACTCTAGAATTTTTAAAGGGAAATTGCAGTACCTAGTACAATGGAAGGGGTACCCGCTGTCCGAAGCTACTTGGGTGAAATCTAGCGATGTGAAGGCTGACCGACTCATCAAAAAGTTTCATGAAAAAAAACCCCAACAAACCAAGAAATAATCCCTGACATATGCTCTTGTTCACATACAGGACCTATCCTTTTTGTAAGGGGGGCCGGATGTCAACGCTGCTAATGAATATTCTTGCTTTGACAAAATATGCAGAACTGTCTGGTATTTTTAGAGTTAATTCAGATGAAACGGGAGAGGAGGAAAAAGCGCACGGAAGGGAACGGAAGTGAATCTTTGCCCTCCAGGTTAATTGGAAGATGTGAATCATGACCCCAAAATAAGGGAGGGGAAATGCCTGGAATGTTATGTGCAAAGGAAGGGAAATTCAGATCTTGGCATCCTCCATGCCGTGCTGACACTCTGTTACACAGCTAATAAAGGCTTTTTAGGTTAAACAATGCCTGAAAGTTCTTTGAAGTGTTTCATTAGTCAGAACCTTGACATCGCTGGGGGGCCCTGAAAAGGGCCGACAGTCACCCCAAAGAGACGACCAGCAAGGAGGGGCTTTCGCTGGATGGCGGGAGAGTAGCAACTCTCCCGTTAGAACAGGCGGACGAAAGGACCGGCCATAGAAATATGGCTCATCCCTAGGCTGCTAACAGCCAAAGTCACACTTACCATCTAGCAACTTCAAAGCAGCGTGGGAAGGACTGGGTGAGAACTACCTCTCTTACATCCTAATTACTTAATTACCTGCATAAGCTGCTAAAGTACTTTCCCCCCTGTGGAGAGGGAAGGGGGATTTTAGCCCTCCCTCCAGAAACAGTGGCAATTGAATACACAGGGGAGCTTATTTGAAAACGTTGAAAAAATAAATGGATCCCAATTGGAACTTTATTTCCTAAAGATGTGGATTAAAACATTTTTGATTATCTACTTTTTACTTTTAATTTTTATTTGAAAGTCTGGGTTTTTCCTCTTAAAATAGAAGAATCCCCCCCCAAAAAGGATTACAATAACTTTGAGATTTAAAGGAATTCCTTAAACAGTGGGGTGACATCTTGTGGCTAAACCTGAAATTGCAATTTATTATTCTTAAAGAAAAGAGACCTGGCTGACAGCTTAGAAAACAAGATAAAATTTATCTGGTAACCTTGAACACCAGCTGTGAGAGTTTTAGCTCTGTTTCTTATTTACTGGGGGGGGGGGAAAGCTGTGAAAGTTTTCAATTCAACTCATCACTATGGAAGTCCAGGAACAGAGCTTTCCTATGGAAGAAATGCAAAAACAAATTTTTGATATGTTGAAAATAACTTACCAAACTTACCAAAGTCTTCTTAAAGCTGGCGATGAAATAAGAGCTTTCAGGAAAAAAACAGAAAGCGTCTTAGATATGCAAACTCAAACTTTGACTATAACTAAAAACCTATCTATACAGAATACAATAGGAAAAATCGAACAATTAAATACTATGACAGAAGACCTAACTGTCCAGCAAATACAGACAATAGAAAATTCAGAAAAAAATCTGACAACATGGATGGAGGAAAAAACCTGCTATATAAATCAGAAGGAATTTGAAGATCAAGAAGAGGAACAGATGGAAGAAAAAATAAACAATTCAGGACAACTACGTCAAGAGGAGAAAATAAAGAGACGATCTGGTAGTCCTGCCAGACCCCTCAGCCTTCCAAAAATGGCGACTGGATGGTCATCTCAATATGACATAATATATATAATAATACAAGAAATCTTTGAGGATCCTGAAGCAAGAACATGGAAGATGATTTGGCAAAGAGAAAAAGCTAGAATAAGATTGAAGAAGAATGGAGTGTGGGCATATTTAGGGGGTTTAAAATAGAATATACTTAAGTAGACAAGACCCGTATTTTGAATACGAGATATTGTTATGATGTGAAGATAAAGAAAACTGTTGGCTAATTAAAACCTAGATGCATAAATATCAACAGTTAAATTGAAATATTGAGTTGTTTATAAAGGTTAGATAAAGATGATTAAGACATATATATGTTAAGAGTGATGTAATGTAATTAATATGTTTTGATGTAGTGATAAGAATAAAAATTATAAGCTTAAATATGAGAAAGTGGATATAAGGAAGAATGCTGAAATGGGAGAAATTTTGGTTATTGAATTTATAATATTTGGAAATTATAATGAAAATAAGAATGTTATATTGTATTACTAATTTGTTGATATAGAAGTGAGATAGATAAGATATATATTCGGAATACTAGATGTTGGGGGGAATTGTGACAAAGGGAATTGGGGTCATTTAAAAATTTGGAAACGATAAATATTAAAAGTTTAATTTAAATATCAATGCAAAATTAAAGCTGGGAAAATTCGTAAGGTTATTGATGGTCCAAAAGATGGAATGTTAAAATAAACAACACATATAAAATTATTGTTAAATGTAAGAAAGCTATTAAGTAGTTGATGGATAGAATAAGAAGTATACTAATTTAAACAAGAGACAGTATGTATTAAGGGAAAAAAAGAGGAAATATTGGCTGTAAAAGTTGGAGATTTGTATTAATAATACCTGTATGTAATGGAACTATTGTGACTCAGACACCACGTTGCTTTTCAAAGATATAATTGTAACATTGGAAAATTAATAAAAAGTTAAAAAAAAAGAGTGAGAGATGCCCCATACCAGGGGCCAAAGACTTGATGGGTGACAAACGTGGGCAAAGCGGCAGATGCGGAGGACCCCATGGTGCCTGTGAGAATCAACGTGGTCCGAGGGAGCAAGTGGAAGATGTGGCCAGTCGAGTAGGACGAGCCCGAGTGGAAGCTCCTGGTTGCAGCCCATAGCTCATGGATGGAGCAGCTGAGGGAGAAGTTTGGTGGCTTGGAGGTTCGAGTGGCCACCTCACCGGGGACTGCGGTGGTGGCAATTGGGATGAGCGGAGTGAAGTCACTCACAGCATCGGCCACCCCACCTCCCCCTCTCCTGCAGCCAGCGATCACGACTGGGGCACTGGGCCAAGGGCGACCCCTGCAGGGACCACCACCCCTCCATCAGTGTGGCAGCAGGCGGTCCCAGTGGCTCCAGCAGCAGCCGTGGCTGGGGTGCCACTGGGATACGTCCTAGTGCGAGAGGAGTGACCACCACCTGCCCTGGTGGTGCATTTCGATGGGCACCTGGACAACCTAGCTCACTTCCTGGCCCAAGTGTGGCACCACATGGAGCGCTATGGTGGAATACACCCAATGTGGCCCGGGTCCACACCATCACTGCCAACCTAGAAGGAAGAACCTCGGGATGGTTGGTATCCCTCCTCGATACAGGGGCTCCGTAACTGACCAACCTGGATGTGTTTATGCAGACCCTGTGGGAATGGTTCAAAGACTCCATGGCTGCTCAATGCGCAGAGACCTGCATCTGCAAACTGAAGCAAGGCAAGCAGCCAGTGATGAAGTACATTCAAGATTTTCGCAGCCTGACTAGCCACCTGAGAAATTGGCCTGAATTGCATGCTGGTTTACCAGTTTCGACAGGGGCTAAGCAAGGAGCTGTACCACAACACCCTGAGGGGTGTTGCATAACCTGCAAGTGGGGTACCGGGTGGCCATGGAGGTGGAGATTGATTTGATGGAATACCACGAGCACACTGTGCAGGAGAGCTGACCCCGCTGGATGCCTGAGAAGCGACCAACCCAGAGAGGGGGAAAAGGGGGCACACCCCCTGCCAGGGGTAGCAGGCCCCACCAGATCACAGGAGTCTGTTTTTGCTGTGGGGAAGAAGGGCACCAGGCAGCAGAGTGCCTTGCACCAAGACCGGCATCCGCTCCTCCACCTCCGAGCCAACCCAAGAAGAAGAAGGCCCCCACGAGACCAAAGGAAGAGACATGGGTGGGACAACAGGTCATGGAGTTCTCCCCTCAGTCCAGTGAGGAAGAGGGAACTCCAACCCCTGCCAAAACGACCCCATCTTCTATGAGAGCGACAGCAAAGGAGAAGACAACCCGATGGTAAGTGGCACCATCACTCCTACGACAGCCAGGGTAGAGATCCTAGTGCCCTCCTCAGCAGTAAGGGGAATTCTCATGGCCCTATTAGACTTGGGGTGCACCAGATGCCTGGTCAGCCCCCAGGTAGTAGAGAGGTTGGGAATGAGACTAAGAAAACTGAAGCAACCTGTGACTGTTTCCCAGCTAGACGGCTCAATAATGGGCGGGGTGCCAGCAACTTGCCTCACTGAGCCCATAAGAATCAAAGATGGCACCCACTTAGGGACTGTCCAGTTTATCATGGTCCCAGGAATGACTGAACCCATGGTGTTAGGGTTAGCGTGGTGGAAAAAGTGGAGCCTGTCCATAGACTGGGACAAAACCCAATGGTAGGTGCAAAGGAAAGCAGTGAACCAGCAGTTATTAGTTGAGGCGCTAATAACCAGCCAGGCGCCAGCGACCAGGAAAGTGAAAGTGGAAACCACAAATACACTAAAAGGCAATGACTCAGAACCATTGATCCCAGAGGAATACCACAACCTAGCTGATGTTTTTAGCAAACAGGAATCAGACATGCTCCCCCCTCACCGCCCCATGGACTGTGTGATTGAGATCATGCCAGGGGCCAAATTGCCAAAACTGAAGATGTACTCAATGACACCCAAAGAGATGGGGGAACTCTGGGCATTTATAGACAAGAACCTAGCCAGGGGCTTTATCCAACTGGTGAAGTTGAAGATGGTGGCCCCAGTGCTATTTAAAGAGAAGATGGGTCCCTTAGATTGTGTGTAGATTATAGAGATCTGAACTGCATCAGCATAGAGAACATGTATCCCCTCCTGCTAATGAGAAACATGCTGGGGTACCTAGTAAAGGGGAGGATATTTACCAAGTTGGACCTCAGGGAGGCGTACTACAGAGTGAGGATCAAAGAAGAGGACGAGTGGAAGACAGCGTTTAACTGCCCCTTGGGCTGCTACCAGTTCAGGGTGATGCCATTTGGCCTGCAGGGGGCGCCGGCCGTGTTCCTACAGTTAATAAAGTTCTGCATGAGCACCTGTACAAGGGGGTCTTGGTGTACCTGGACGATATATTAATCTACACCAGGGGTGTCAAACTCGCAATGTCACGTGACGTGTTGCAACGTATCACGACTTTTTTGCCATTGCCGGCAATGGGGTGGGCATGGTTTCGCTATGATGCATCCGGCCCATGGGCAGGCAGTTTGACACCCCTGATCTACACCAAGACCCCAGAGGAGCATGTGAGACTGGTCAGAGTGGTGCTAAAAAAACTGCAAAAGGCCTAGCTCTACATGAAATTATCCAAATGTGATTTCCACAAGACCAGCCTGGACTACCTGGGGTACCAAATCTCAAAAGAAGGGGTGGAGATGGACCCTGGCAAGGTGAAGGAAATACTGGAGTGGGAGGCTCCCCGAACCAGGAGGCAGCTGCAAAGTTTTCTCGGGTTTGTGAATTTTTACTGCCAATTCCTACATTCACCCAGATAGTCCTGCCAATCACCAACCTGCTTAAAACAGGGGGGGCAAAACCCAAGCCGAGGCAGCCCCTGGGTTGGTCCCTTGAGTGCCAAGCCGCATTTGAAAAATTAAAATGCCTGTTCGCTGTGGAACTGGTTCTGAAACACCCCGACCCAGACGAACCATTTGTAATACAAGCAGACACCAGGGATGTGGCTATGGGGGTGGTCCTACTCCAGAAGAATGCCAAAGGTGAGCTGCAGCCCTGCGCCTATATATCCCATAAATTCTCCGAAACCAAGAGGTGTTGGGCAATCTGGGGGAAGGAAGCCTATGTGGTCCAATGGGCTCTCCTAACCTGGAGGAAGTTCTTGGAAGGCAGCAAAATCCCCTTTGAAGTATGGACAGATCACAAGAACCAAGAAGTGCTGAAGACCCCACAGAAGCTGTCCCCTAAATAGGTCCGGTGGGCTCAGTACTTCAACCACTTTAACTTCACCCTCCAATACCTACTGGGGGGAAGAACTTTTTAGCAGATGCGCTCTCTCGCATGCCACAGAACAACAGTGCTCGGGAGGAGGTTGTCAACTCCATTATCCCATCCAACCAGTTCGTGGTGCCAGTAACCACAAGGCAGCAGAGAGCACCCCTCCAGCAACCCACCCCAGACCTGGTACAACCACTGAGGGAGGCTCTGGAGGGCGACGACTGGTTTCAGCAGCAGAAAGATGAGTTGGTGATAAAGGAAGGGTTGGCATGGAAGGGGAGCAAAATTTACATCCTAGCCAGCCAAAGGACTTCAATCCTACAGCAAAATCACAACACGAAGACGGTGGGGTATTTGGGGTTTGTAAAAATTCTCCACCTGGTGAAAAGGCAATTTTGGTGGCCAAAGATGAAAAAGGACATGGAGGCATATGTGGCCAGCTGCCCTGTTTGTGCCTCAATAAACAACTGCCTGGGAAGCCCCTGGGTTGCTACAACCAGTAGACAACCCCACCAGCCCGTGGGAAAAGATCACTATGGACTTTATTGTAGCATTGTCGGAAAGTGCTGGAAACACTGTGATTTGGACTGTCACCAATTTGTTCTCCAAGCAAGCCCCACTTTGTGGCATGTTCCAGGATCCCTTCAGCCCAGACTTTGGCTAAATTGTTTGTGCAACACATATACCGGTTACATGGGGTCCTGAAATGTATTATCTCTGACTGAGGAGTACAGTTCACTTCAAAATTCTGGTGGGAATTTCTGAAGCTGATAGGCTCTTCCCAGGGGCTTAGCTCCACCCACCATCCTCACACAAATGGAACCTGTGAACGCACGAACTCAATCTTAGAACAATACCTGAGATGTTATGTAAACTACCAGCAGACCAGTTGTGCTGAGCTCCTGCCATTCACAGAAGTGGCATATAATAATTCCATGCATAGCAGCACTGGGTTTACCCTGTTCAAGGTGGCTACTGGGGTGGAAACTGCCCCCATGCCAGAGCTCCCACAAGAGAAGCCATCATCAGCTTCTCTGGCGGAATGGATGGATACTTTGAGAGTCACATGGGTTGCAGTGCGTAGGGCACTAGAGAAAGCCAGGGAAACCCATAAATAACAAGCTGATAAAAAGAGGGCACTCCAGAGGGAGTTCAGGATGGGAGACAGGGTGTACCTGTCCACCAAGTTTCTGAACCTCAGGCAGTCGTGTAAAAAGCTGGGCCCCAAGTACATAGGACCTTTCCCTATTACTTGGATTGTAAATCCAGTGACGGTAGAACTGAAGTTGCCAAAAAGCCTCAGACGCATTCATCCAGTATTTCATTGCAGTCTGGTAAAGGCTTTCAGTAGCTCGGTACTTACACCTGCCACTGAACCCGCTCCTCCTCCCATCCTAGTGAGCGGAGAGGAGCACTTCGAGATTCAGGAAATCTTGGGCTCAAGAAGGCACAAGGGGAAACTACAGTATTTGGTATTATGGAAGGGTTATCCCCTAGCAGAGGCGGTATGGGTAGTGTCAAAAGATGTTAGGGCATCTAGACTTGTTCATAAGTTCCATACTAGACATCCAAACTGACCCAAACAGAACAGGAGGTTGAGGGATTCTATGTTATGTAAATTTCTGTGTGTTTTCTTTCCTAGGCTTGTCTTTCTTCTGGAGGGTCAGCATGTTAAGGTTGACTCGCAAAATACGTCTTTCTGCTTGCAGCTTGACAAAGAAACGGGAGGGAGGAGGGGTATGATTGGAATGTGTGGGAAGCTGGGTCTTTCTGCTTGCAGCTTGACAAAGAAACATGGGAGGGAGGAGGGGTATCATTGGAATGTGTGGGAAGCTGGGAGGGAAAAAAGGAATTCACGTGAGCCGTTTGCAGCTTGAGAAAATCTTACAACACCAAGGTTGTGAGCGGAAGACTTGAAAGGTGCCGACTGTTTTCCCAAAATAAAATGTTAGACCTGGATTGGTGGACAATAGACACTGGGCGGCCCAGGGGAAGGAAAAGGGGTTTTATTATATTGTGCTTTGCGCCAAACCCTCAAAACTGGCTTTTCTTCTTTTGTGCCTGTATGGATCTATCAGTAAAGTTTTACTCTTGGTAAAAAAAAAATGTCCCAGGAGTTTCTTTTGCTGTTCGTGCCAATGTGATGGTTGACAGGTGGAGGCAGTGTTGCATCGCAGGGAGAAAAATAATAATAATAATAATAATAATAATAATAATAATAATAATAATAATAATAATAATAATAATAATAATAATAATAATAATAATAATAATAATAGTTGAAAGGGACCTTGGAGGTCATCTAGTCCAACCCCCTGCTGAGGCAGGAAACCCTATTGTTGTTGTTGTTGTTAGTTGCGAAGTCGTGTCCGACCCATCGCGACCCCATGGACAATGTTCCTCCAGGCATTCCTGTCCTCAGGAAACCCTATAAAACCCTATAAAACCCTATTAAATTTAAGTAAGAAGGAAGGGCAGGAGGGGAGGAGGACGACAAGAGGGAGCAGAAAGAGAGAAAGAAGTAAGACGGGAAAAGGGAAAAGGAGAGGAAAAGTAAAGGGGGGGAGGAGGAAAACACCAACAAAACAGTGGTGCAGAGGCAGCATGTGTGATCGACTATGTTGAGAGAAGGCCAGCTACCCAGAGGCCCAACCTGGCAACCCCAGTCTGGCAACCCAGTAACCGAACCTGGCAACTCAGGGGCCTGGAGATCCAGGTGACCACCTAAGAGGTGCAACCGGCCAAGCAGCCCAGCAGCAAAAGTGGTGCTGAGTAGCAGAAGCTCGGATCAGTCAGAAGCCAACTGACCAGTAGCTAGGAACAACATGGTGGAGGCTACCTTCATAGCAACTGGAGGCTAGTGGCAGTGGTGCAGAACAATGTGATGGAGGCCAGCAGTGGAACAACTGGATCAACCAGAGGCCAGCTGAGCAGCAGTGTCACAGAAGGCACAGAGCTAAGCAGCAGTGGCATAGAACAACCAGTGGCTCAGAGCACCCAGAGTGGTGCATTTTACCCAAAAAACTTGGCAGTGGCCAGGCAACCAAAGGGCCAGAAGGCAGGGATGAAAGGGATAAGTACAAAATGTTTCCTAAAGAGCAGCCTGAGATTTCCTGCAAAAGAGACTCTGCGAGCCAACTGGGAATGTGCAGACATGCAAAACTACAACCGAAAAAGGCACAGTAAAGAAGAAATCAAGGAATTTCAACACCAGCCACAAGAGGAGCTAAATTTCAACATTAGCCATGAGAGGAACTATAATAAGCATTACTCCAGCATTAACCTCAAAAGGTTCAAACCTTCCATAAATGAACTAATTTTGAATAAAATAAAAAAATAGGTTTTTGAAACATATAAGGAAAAGGGTTAGTTTTTGAATCCTATAATTTTTAAATTTGCTATAAGTTTTCAAATTTTACATTTTCATATATAAATAATTACATTTTTAAAATTTTAGTTTTCTATATTATTTAAGTTTTAAAATTTGTGAAGTTAAATTTTTAACTTCATATGATTTTATAATTTTAATTTGTAAATTTTTACATACATTTTAAATTTTTAAAATCTTTAAATTTACATTTATTTCTAAATCTTTAATTTTAAACAAAAAGAGGAAAAATATTCTGAAATCTCTAATTACACTTTCTAAAAAAAAGAAAAAGAAAAAAAGACTAATGCTGTTCTGACTTGCAAAATGTGCTATGTATTTACACCCATAGAAAACCCAAAATACATCTGTACGAAATGTAAACTAATAGAAAAACTTGAGGAAAAAATTAAGAGTCTTGAGGAAAAATTAAAGGGTCTATAGACAAGGATAGCCATCCTGAGAATCAAACAGCAAAACGAGAAACTGCAAATAAGAAAGAAAACTAACCAAACTGAACACAGTAAGGAACTATTAACTAAGACAGAAAATAAAGCTTTAAAGATAGACCGATGGTGGCATGTCACAATAGAAGGAAAAAGAAATCAAATCCAGTCCAGTTTATTCAGCTGCGCTGGAGCTAAACAACCAATTTCGTAACCTCCCCCTAGAAGATAACATGCAGGCACCTGGAGAAGGGACAGCACCTAGCACATCAAGTACAGAAAAAAATTCAGAACAGACTTCCTTAAGAAGAAAAAAAGGCATGTGTTGGTGATACACGATTCACTGCTCAAGGGAACCAGTAATTTGTAGAATGGACAATCAAATTAGGGTGGTTAGCTGTCTCCCAGGAGCAACTATGAAAGACATGACTGAGAGGCTTACTAAAATAATCCCCAGAAAAGTCATGCATCCAATGAGGAAACGGAAAACCATGGAACTGGCTTAGGGGATGGTGCTGTTGAGAGAACTTTGGATTCTTAGAACAGCAGCCCCCAACCTTTTGAACACCAGGGACCGGTTCCGTGAAGACAGGTTTTTCTGTGGACCGGAGGGATCATGGTTTTGTGTGTTGCCTGCATCCCATGGATGGGGCTTCGCTTGTTTGCGCGGCCCGGTTTCTGGCATGCCGCAGCCTGGTGCTGGTCCACGGACTGGGGGTTGGGGAACCCTGTCTTAGACCATCATTTGCAACACCTGCATGGGGTGGCTTCTGGCAGGGGATGAGCTACACCTCACAAGAACCAGGAAGAATGTCTTTGGAAACCAACTGGGGCGGTAGAGAGCAGTGTGGCAGAGGTCTCAGAGTGCAGGGTGGCAAGAGTGACTGCAGCTGGGACTGGGCTACTGTGGTTGATGCTTCCCAGGGAATGCCAGCTTTGCACTACACTGTTAGGGGTTCTCAAGCATGGTGGATTTGCACTGCTCTGTTGGGACTTCCCAGGGCTGGGGCTGGGCTTCACACAGCACAAAGTGGCTTCCTGGCACGCTGCAGCTTTGGGGCTTTTTGTTTTTTGTTGGGGCTGGACTTTGTGTGGCACAAAGGGGCTTCCTGGTGCACAATGGCTCTGGGGCTTTTTGCTTTTTTCAGCCCCAGAGCTGCACTGTGCCAGGAAGCCCCTTTGCGCCACACAAAACCCAGCCTGGCTCAGCAGCATGGTGCAAAGGGGATTCCTGGTGCACCAAAAAGCTTGCAGCCATAGAGCCAGTGTGTCAAGAAGCTCCTGAGCCGCAGTGCATTCTTTCCCTGGCCTTCCTGAGCTCATGTCACACCACAACACCCCCGTCTCCCAATTTATGTGTGGCCTGCACTGGCTCTCCCATGCCTCCCCCATCCCCCCCATGGTACCCCTGAGTGCCTTACCTGGGAATCCCGCCTCTTCCTGGTTAACTTGCACTTAACAACACGCAGATTCCAATGGCAACCATGACTGCAGTGATTGCTGTCACCAAGCGATGTAGTCACATGACATCAGGCTATACCACCGCATCCATGAGTGATGGAAATTCCAGTTCCAATTGTGGTTGTAAGTCAAGGACTATCTGTTCTAGAGTTTCTGCCCATCATAAGCATCCAGAAATTGCAACATGTGCTGCCTTTGCCTGCTCATTTTGACCCAGGTTATATAAAACAACCCTTTGTTATCCTCAGTAGTGTATTCACTTTTCTGCACACACACCCCTCTGCTTTGTGATCCAATTTTCAGGGACTCCATCGATCTTGACAATCCTCAGGAGGGTGCCAGAGCCACACAGTTGTTGGAGGAACTGATTAAGGAACTGCAAAAAAAGGCAGACCACCAGGTGGGCGAGGATGGCTTTCTTCTAAAGATCAAACTGGGTCATTATGCCACTCAGCTACAGGTGAGTTATAGGGGCTGAGAGTTTGGAAGGTTTGGGGACAGCTAAGAGATGGTGTTCTCAAGTTTTTCCATGAGTGAAAGTCTGATGGAGTTACTAGTTTTTCACTCTTTTGACCCATTTTTAGGCTGTTCTCTCTTTCTTTTACAGAATACATATAAACACTGCCCTCTGGAGTTAGTACGCTGCATTCGATACATCCTATACCATGAGCAACGACTGGTGCAAGAAGCCACAGATGTGAGCATGGTTTATTTCCTTTTGCATAAATGTTTCTCCTTACTATATACAGTACATATTAGGGTATGGCCAAATATATTTCCTCTGCAATAATATCCATATTTTTCCTCTTATAAAATTTCCGTATTTACAGAGCCTTTTGCCAGCTAGCAGCCTGGCTGACGCCCTGTCCCAGAAGCACCTTCAGATCAACCAGACCTTTGAAGAATTATGCCTTGTGACCCAGGACACTGAGAACCAGCTGAAAAGGCTTCAGCAGACTCAGGAATATTTCATCATCCAATACCAAGAGAGCCTTCGTCTGCAAGGTATATCTGTAGGAATGGAGAAGGAATGGTACATCATTCCCAGGATTGGTGCAATAGTAGTAGTACTCATTCTAATATTCATTCTTCATATTACTAATAGTAGCATGTAATGATAGAGTAATAGAACATACATTTGCATGTGAAACACTCCATTGTGAACCCTGGCATCTCCAGGTAGGACTAGGACAGAACTCTGTTGAAAATCCTACAGAGCCACTTTAAATTGAAGTGAGCTGGATGAAAAGCCTTCCTATGTTCCTCAACTGGATTTTTAAAGAAAAGACTACAGGTAGTCCCTGGTTGCTTAATGATGGTTCAAAGTTACAACTGACCCAAAAAAGGGGACTTCAAACTCAGATTCAAAGTTCTGATGGTCAGCCCCCCCCCCTGCAGTCACATGACCAAACTTTGGGCACTGGGCAACATGGCCTCATTTACAGCCATTTGCAGCATACCACGTTCATGTGACCATGTTTTATGATGGTTTTGCTGAAAACTGGCAGTTAAAAATGTTGTAAATATTTTACAACCATTAACGACATAAGACCATAATGGGCAGTATGTCAAGGACTACCTGTAAAGCAACCAAACAGATAAGCTTGAATGCAAGGAACTCTCTTCTAGTATGTGAGAGTTGAGAGCAGATTGAGGTAATTCAGGGCAAGGTCTAATTTGTGCTTCCTTTCCAGCCCAGTTTACTCAGCTTTCTCAGCTAAACCCACAGGAACATATGGGCCGTGAGCCTACTTTGCAGCAAAAAAAGACATCCCTGGAAGCTTGGCTACACCGGGAGGCTCAGACATTGCAACAATATCGTGTAGTGAGTACCGTCCTCCCAAGTCCTGATTCTTACTTCCTACTTTCTTTCCCATTGTGTTTTTTGTTGTTAACACCATATTCAAAATGCTTTTTTGTACTCCTCAGAAACTGGCTGAAAAGCACCAACGGACACTGGTTTTGCTCTGCAAGCAGCAGACTATTATCTTGGATGATGAGTTGATCCAGTGGAAGAGGAGGCAACAACTAGCAGGAAATGGCGGCCCTCCCGAGGGGCCTTTAGATGGCCTACAAGCATGGTATATACAATGAGAGGAAATTCACTGAACTCCTAGTGCAGTGTTTCCCAAGCTGGGGAATTTTAAAATGTTTAGACTTCAACTCCCAGATTTCTCCAGCCAGCATAGCCATTAGTAAGAATTCTGGGACTTTGAAGTCCACACTTCTCAAAAGTTGCCCAGGTTAGGAAACACTGTCATAGTGACTGAAATTAAATAAAGGATTAATTCAGAATTCACTGGATTCAGATTTAAATACAGGTAGACCTTGACTTACAACCACAATTGAGCCCAAAATTTCTGTTGCTAAGCAAGGCAGTTGTTAAGTGAGTTTTGCCCCATTTTACAACTTTTTTGCCACAATTGTTAAGCAAATCACTGCAGTTGTTAAATGAATCTTGTGGCCGTTAAGCTAATCTGGCTTCCCCCATTGACTTGTTCGATCATGTCTCAAACTGCACACTTCATGAGTTCACAGCTACTGGTTACAGGTTATGCAGAGGAACAGTTTCAGACAGTTTCAGGCTTTTAAAACCTAAGACCACTGTTTTGGAAACAAAGGTCTGGATCTAGAATGTAGGCTCTGGCCTAAATAAATCTGTAGATTTAAAAGACTCGGTGGGTTTTCTGGACATGGAGAAAAGCAGACACTGGATTACTCCTTGCCTTCTCTCTCCAATATTGATTGCAGTTCCAAGGATTTGAAACTGGACAAAAGTCCAAATGATAAACTGTTTATAGCTTGGAAATTACTTGAAGTAGCCACAACTAACAAATTGTTTAGATCTTTTTTAAAAAGATAGTTGTAATAGTGGTACTGGGAACAAATAATAATACAGATAGTCCTCTCTTACTGTAATGACCCTAATTGGGACCAGAATTTCTATTCCTAACTGAAATGGTCATTAGGCAAAAAAATCACATGACCACACTGCTTAAGCAACGGCACTTCTGGTAGTCCCAGTTGCGGATGGGGAGGAACATACTCAGGCTCAACCCTTCCAAGACCGAGTGGCTGTGGCTACCGGCGCCTCGGCATAGTCAGCTGGTTCCATCGCTGACTATAGGGGGCGAAACTTTGGCCCCCTCGGATAGGGTGCGCAATCTGGGTGTCCTCCTGGACTCGCGGCTGACACTGGATGACCAGTTGGCGGCCGTGACCAGGGGGGCGTTTTATCAGGTT